ATCCCCGCATTCGCTCGGCCATCCACTAGCTTCCTGCTTTAATTGTAGAAATGTATTTATATATTCGGCAAACAAACCTCCCTGCCGAGTATTGGGATCGTATCGTGTGACTTTATACTGCCAAATTTCACTAACGCTCGTCACGAGATAGCCCTTCTCGATGGCTTTGCGTAATTCGCAGGATACCCAAGTACCTTCGAATTCACGCTCGTCGGGACGATCGTAAGTGCACGTTTCCTGCAAGAAAGTTTCGCAGCAGCTTCGACACAGTGAGAAAAGCAGCTTTCCTCTTACCCGATACGGGAGTACCGGATGAAAGATTACGCGGTAGGAGCACCTTGCAGCGTACAAGACCTTCGACCGAGTCAAAATTAAAATTTGGCGCTTCAACAATTAACTCGTTACAGTCCTCACCGATATAAATATCGGAGTGACCGTATGGGAAAGCACCCGTTTTCAATACATACGGATACAAAGAGCATACGTCCACATAACGTATTTTCTCTGTACGTGTAATTTCATAGCGGGTAGCGACGTTTCCCGTACGACCGCCGAAAAACGCATCGCGCGGGTCGAAAGGATCAGATTTTAAAGCGTGTGATTCTTGAGAAAATCACGCATCTCAAGATTTTCACGCATTTCCCGGTCAAAGTTACACTCCCATTTCTCTATCACGTGGTATCCCCGTTTTCGTAGACGATATGTCGATGCGAGAGTTCGTTCGTAACGCGCGTCGATCGTATCTCCACGATTCGTGGACGAAAACGTTCTGTCGCGATTCACCTGAAAGCACGTCGGACATCCATGCCAGAAACATCCGTGGAATTGAAGTACGTAACGTTGTATTCCGTCTGCCGATTCCGACTCGTAGTATCCGTCAACGCGCCTGCCATCAATCTCGTACTCGCGCCCTCGTCCCGCGTGAATTATGCGATGACCGAGCTCACGCTCCTTCCACACTAACCACTTTAAGGCTTTTCGCGATTGTTTATCCGCATTTCTATATCCGCCCGGAGGAATGATTCCTATTTCTTTCTCGCGCAAAAAGTTTTTGCGAAAAACTTTCATGCACGAGGAAGCGATAGTTGTACATTCCTCGAACAGACACACATTACCACGTTTCAAAAAAATTTTTCTGTAACGCCATGCATGCGCGTCGAAGAATTTCTACGTCGTTACGGCAATATTTTACTATTTCATGTTGAAAATTAAAAATAAAATTTGCGCGTATCATCTCATCGTGCCAGTTTGTAAATCGCATTCGTTCTTCGGGCTTCATTTGATCGGGAGAATAATATCGCGCGTCAGGTATCGGGCCGATATACGATTGATTCTCCCTCGTATTGAACAGGTGAGGAAAGTTGCCTTTGTCCGACGTATTCTTCAGCCCGAAAGCTTTGGGTAAATCGGCCAAACGCATCGGTAAATAATTGAGACTATCTATAAATTTCGTATTCCCGACCGTCATTACGATAATCTTCGTCCCGTTCAAAATTACCCGCGGTTCTTCCGTAATTTCGGATTCTTCTACTAAATACTTTAAAATGAATTGCGCGTCGAACGCTTTCGCATTATGAGCGATACAAATAATCTTTTTAAAACATTTTGTCGTTCGCGTTACGAGTTCGACAAACTGTTTCACGGGGTTATCTCGAAATATAAACTCGCGTACTCCGCACCAACGACATCGCACCGACATATCGTCTATCTCCGCGCAAGTTTCGCAAATCTGATCTGCGACGCAGAGAGTTGGAACGTGAATTTTTACCTTCGTAAGTCTCGTACTGTCGCGTTTCAAAATCGTAGAACACGAATGCGACGTGGTCTCTTTTAAATTTGTTTTTGACTTCGGGCTCATTCTCACTTGCATGTGTCACGTCTTCCTGTATCGTCGCACTACTCGTACCCTCACCCGGATTCTCAGTAACGACTTTACATCGAAGAGGTCGCATGAAGCAGAAATGATTCGAAGACTGAAGCGATCGACATGTTCTACAATAGGATATTTCGCATTCGTGTTTTGAATTTAACTTTACGAATCGCCCGCAATCGTTACAAATTTTAACCGATTCGCAAACGCTTGCGGGGGATTGATCGTTGTAAGATCTTTCCGCGCGATGACGTTCAAAACACGTGGTACCGAAAAACGCACGATTGCACGATTGGCACTTAATTAGCTGCGCGTCGGGGGATTCGCACGACGGAATCGCGTGGCAACGTGGGCATTTTTTAGTACAACGGTGACCTCTATCTTTACGATAGCCCATATTGCACACGACGCAATATCCCCCGCGAGAACCAGCAGCGGCTTTTACGTTTAATATCGGGTTGAAATGACGCTTACGTTCATAGTACATTATATGCAGTTTAATACTCGGTTCGCGTCCTAGAGGGTCAAGTAACGTGCAACCGTCATATACCGGATTCTCACCGCGCCCGAAAGTACTAAAATTGAACACAATTATTGCTATATTTTCGGCAGCGAGGTAACGTTGAAAACGCTCGATTTCACGCATACCGCATCCCTGCTCGGGAATTGTGACGCCAGCGTTCCTCGTTAGTTCTTTCGCTAATTCGGATTGTAACGAGGAGCTCTGTCGTCTTATGCAATTCCATTTTTCATGGAGTTCACCCATACGCAGATTTCCTCGTTCACAATGTGCTCGTGCCACTACGAGGGAACGTGGAAAACACAAATTATCAGAATTATTTAATTGCAAAATCGAGCGTTTTGCTACGTCTTCGCGTGTTAGTCGATTTGCTCTACCACCACGTCCCGCAGGTGCCGCAACGTCGTAAAAACGCGTACGTCGAAATTTTCCGCGATATCGAGCCCTCCGGCACTTTGAGCTACTGAACTCACGAGTCGCCATATGTCCTCGGAAGTTAAGTCACGCACCGGACGAAACGATAGTCCTGCTGGACCATGCGTTAAATTCGGTGAATCGAACGATAAACCCACGTAATCGCCCGGTTCGCACGAACGTATCGCATACGCGTAGATTTCACGGAACGCGTTTTCTAGCCAGCGAACAGTATCCTCACCTTCGGGTATTGGTCGTATCACGAAACTAGCCTCTCTCCCGAGCATGTCGAAATTTCTAAAGCGTCGCGAGTTTTCCGTCCGTAAATCTACGAAATTAAAATTATCGCCAACCTCGTGTTG